ATCGACAGCGAGCTGGGCGCCATGCGCTCGCGCTTGTAACGCGAATTGGAATAGCCGCGTTGCCTGGTCGAACTTGTCGGCCCACTCCCTAGCAAGTGCTTTCGAAACGAGGCGGCGGAATATGTCGCCCGTGACGATTCCACGCACCCCCCCGTCCCGCTTGCGCAAAGCCGTGATGCGAGCCATAACGATGGCCTTGCACACGTCAACCCGGCACGCGAGCCGGCGCGAGGAACGTGGAAGCCTCCGCCAGCTGCTTGAGGGCCCCGCCATCCAAAAGTAGCCGTTTCAAGTGTTCCGTTCACATGCCCCAAAAGGCCGGGTGCCCCGCCCCAACATGCGGAGCGGAGGGCGGCGGCGATTGCTCGCGTGGTGAGGTGCACAGACCGGGACGGTTGGTGCTGAAGAAGGTCCTGCCTGGATTCAGCTGCGTGTCGTGTTCTCCTGCTCCGGCGACTCCGCTCTCCACGGCCTCTCGTGTCACCTGCCGTTGTGGTGCACATTTGGACCCACTCGGCGATCATAAAGCAGCCTGCCCACCCGCTGCACTCCTCCGCGCTCTAGCCACAGTCGCTGCAAATGTCCTGCTGCGTGATCTCAACATCACCACCCGTCAGCACGACGACCGGCGCACCAACGCGGTCCTGCTTGGGGGAGGGGTCCAGCTCGCTTTCGACTCTACATCGGTTTCTCTCGGCCCTCGATGCAAGAGGCCGCCCGCGGCACCAGCAGCGCAGCACCGCCGCAAACAAGGAGCGGACCTACCCCGAGCTCATGCGTGCCGGAGCACAGAGCGCGCCGGAGCCCAGAGCGTTAGCGCAGCGATGGTACGGACAACTTGCTTTCTTTTTTTTTTTTAATATTTTTTTCTGCCTGCCGAGAGTTTCTACCGTCCTATAGCCGACTACTCTTCGGCCGCCGCGGTCCTTCGCCAGGCTTAAGGCCGCAAGGGCAAGCGGCTGTGGCCCGCTGGGGCGGCGAGGTGGAGGATGCTGTCGGCCTCTGGTTGCGGCGGCTGCCAGGCGCCTCCCACAGCAGTACTGGCCACGGCCTGCTGCACCGCAGCTGAGGGCATGCTCCACCAACGTCTCGCCCAGGTCACAGTCGCCGCTGCGCGGACCGCCGGCGGGGCGCTGTAGGCATTCAGACGCACGAAGTCTCGCACGAAGCGGCAGGCCTGAGCGTTCCAGCGGCCGCCCACCTCGGAACCAAGCACGACCAGCTTCTGCGGCGGGGATGTGATTGTTGGACTTCGTGTATTGTTGTGAAGTCTTGCAGTTCCATGCGATAGAAAAGTTGATAGGGCTTTTTTCGCATCGCCTTGGAGGAGCACGAACCTTGCGCGAATATCAGTCCCATGGAGCGTTGATGCAACTTCCATGGCAACTTCGGCGGTTCTGCTGGTAGGGGCCTTTGCGTGAAGCGCAGCACGCGCGAGAGGAAGAGCCACCAAAAGCGCGACGTCCACACAGCCGAGGGTGGAAGCAAACGGGTCAGATCCAGCGGCTTCTTCAACTACGAGCAGAGCAGGGTAATGCGACTACATCAGCAGCGGCCAGGCGGCAACGCCGAGGATTGGTTTCGCATCGTTTTGCAGCTTCGGGAAAACAGAAGATATTGAAGGTGGTACTCGCCAAGGAGCATGAATTGTGCATGTGTTTCCTTACAGAGCAGAAATGTTGGAATCTGCATATGAAATGTAATTTGTTTTTTTCCAATTGGCATGCTATGTCGTGCTGACGGCAAGGATCGTGGAATCCAGCGGGTGGCGAGCTGACGGCAAGGATCGTGGAATCCAGCGGGTGGCGAACCCGAAACGCGTCGTACCCACACGATTCAACAGAAGCTTGCGATGTAAGCTGCGAGTGTCTAGTGTCAGTAACGCCAAATCCGAGTTGCTCAGCTTGTGCAGTAAGGTGTTTTGGCCGGAGGCCCCCCAATCTTGCTTCGTTGTTGTTTTTTCAGCGGACTCCTTCGCCTGTACGACAGTGCCTCAGCTACGTTAGTCTTACTACTGCGCCGGTGCATGGATGCGGATGATCCGTTCTTGTAAGGGGGACACCAGTGTGCGTCGCAGCGCTCCTCCGTTGGCGGTGGCCCCGTACACGACGAGGTCAAGGCGGCGGCGGTCGTCGGCTGGGACGCCTGCTGTGTTCGTGTGAGCGAGCCATTGCTGCGGCACCACCTGACCTTCGGCTCCGACGGCCTTTCGCGCGACGCGGACCCAAGCACGCTCGACGGCATGGTTTCCGTAAGGGTCCATGGCGCCACCGCATCCTGGGTTGGGGCAGCAACGGTTGGAGCAAAAAGGCAGGGGCAAACGCAAGCGGCGCCTCAAAGCAATTTGGATCGTTTGTGGCGGGATGCGGCTTGCCTCGTCGCACGGTATGGCGG